ATTTCTAAGGAATCTCTGATAAAATATAACCCAAATAAATCAAGGTCTGCTTCCATATGTGAAATTCTAACTTCATTTCCAATTTTAAAGTTATGTTTTGCCAGCAGCATAATTAAAAAGACAATAAAGAAGCCTGGTGAAGTAAGCACAAGCCAGGAAGCTGGTATTTTAATTGTCACCAAATCAGCCTGTTTAAACTATGATTTCCTTTTACTTGGAAAATTACATTTTTAAAAAGCCCTCAAAAGTCTTTGTGCACTAGTCAAACCTAATAACTATAGCCCCTGTCATCTGTGTTTAAGAAGAATTAATCCTCTAATATTCTGAACTGCAGATACGTTTCTATCTTTTTTTTTGTCCTTTGAAAGATGTACTCCAAATAAATAAATATTTGCATTTAACAAAATGAGATGTATTTAGAGCATAGGAATTTTAGAAACATAAAGACACATTACTGCACTTTTTCAAATAGTATTATCAATTTCTAGTTGTCGTTTTTCACATATAAGCAAGATTCATAAAGCAGCTGACCATCTATTACTAATTTGAAACTGTGTGGATGAATAAATAGTACAGTGGACTTATAATTTCAATAAATTAGTTTAGAATCTTCTAATTTATCTTTTGTCAAAAAAACAACAGGCCTTTAACTTGATATATGATGTTCAAAGAGAATGCATAAATGCATCAGCTGCTTCCCAGTGCAAATGGTCGCCCTTATCAGTTTGAAAACTGATAATCAGGGAAGGAATGCTTGACCCTATGGTCTAACATCTGTCAATAATGGCATGGATAATCTATTTTAAATTGGTGCAAATGTTCAAAAATGGAGTACTTTCAGCCCTGGTCCTACAAATGCTAACTACACTCCAGACCCAACTTTGCCATTTCTACACTTACAATACTAATTTAAATATACCATCAATCTACGCCCATCCTTTCTGCAGGACAGACCTCATCTGCTTTTTTTAACCCTACACTGCCATAAGTGCCGGTTCTATCCTAAGCATGAATTACAGATTGTCTTCCACACTCTATTCCTTTTCTTTCTTTCTTTCTTTCTCTCTCTTTTTGTAACTGGCTAATAGTGCTGATGAGACCAAAGATGAAAAATGTGTAGACCCCAATATGATGCCCTTTAACAAAACCATCCATGACTTCGAAGGAAAGCAAAGACAACAAATGTACCAGATGGCCTAATGGGAAACAACATAAAACATTTTTCATTACAGGAACATTAGCCTAACAAATTCATAACAAATCATAACGAAACCTTGAAGGTTTTGTGTATCGACACAAAAATGTCCTCCTAGCAAAAGCATGAGCATTTTCTACAATGGTATTTGCTGTGTAAGAGCAGTTTATACAGGCCCCTAGTGGTTTAGTGCTCACAGTAACAGACAAAAAGGGTGATTCCTACTTTTCTCAGCTTCTGAAGTTCTACAACTGACACTATTCAAGTGTGCAAATTGTGCGTGGCCTTTAAAAAAATAGGAAGTATTTGGTAATGATAGGTGCTACTTACAGCTAATTAGACTGAACTGAAAATAAAATTGTTGACACACATTCTGTGTGTATGTGTGTGTGTGTGTATATACCCCACTGACATAGCACCATCTTTACAAATTTAACAACCAAAATACAATATTTACCTCATGCCACTATTTATTAGTCTAATAGGTTGGACAAATAGAAAGGGAAGACTTTTAAAAACATTGCCTGCAATTTAAAATCTCAGTGCTACATCTTCATGTGATAGTTATGTCTAAGTGGAATTCCTGGCAAAGCACACACAACCACAAACATTTCTTGGCACTACCTTAAAAACAATAGTCTCCTACTTAGCTAAAAATCTCTGTGTTTAAATAGGGAGTACACAAACCATATAACATTCTGAATTTAAAGTACCTATAAATATATTCTTTCATGCTTCCACAAGTGACGGTATACTACTGGAAAGCATATCCAATGACATCAATCTCTTTCCTTCTCTGTAAAGACTACAAGACCCAGATCTTCAACATACCCCAAAGGAACAAATCTGATGTTTAGAACAATTTAGTAGGCAGAATTTGACAGCTGAACTTACGGCGCTGACCAGACTATCAGTTTCGTGTTTGAAATAGCAGTACAATAGATCCCATGAGAGTTCATTTAAGCACGCTGCAATGAAACAATAAGCAGCTTTCCTCAAAAGCAGGTACATCTGATCAATTATTTTCAGACTGAAGACCTTTAGTTTGTTTCTCTTCTAAGGTTTATATTTGTTGTCATGACAAAGCTGTATTCTTTCCCTCAAAAAACCCTCTTTAAAGTTTCATTTACATCTCAAACTGAGAACATCAAACACCGAAAGCCTTCTAAGCAGACATCAAAAACAAACATTTTCTGCCCCTTAACAAAATGCCAAGGTTAAGGGGGAAGATGTCCTTGTTTAAAAAACAAAAAACATTGTTTTGTCCATGCAGAGGACTTCCCAAAAGCCAGTTGACGGAAAGGTCACCATCACAACTTCCCATGTTATTTACAAAATTACAGGCACGAACAAAAAACACTCTAACCATGAAAACAGGAACACATCCCAACTCAAAACCAGTGCTCATCCCATGCTGAAATACTGCACCAACTCACAAGGGATGCCACTGAGACGAACACTCTCCCCCAAAACCCATCAAACATGTAAAATCAAGCTGTATGTCTTTACAGAGAAATTAGTGATAAATATACTTCTGGATTTTAAGACATACACAATATCTTGAAACAATGGATGGCAGTGACACAGTTCTCCTCCAAAGTAACCTGTAGAGAAGCCGAACCCCAGCAGAACCAAACCAGGGCAAAAAGAGCTGTCTATCTGGAGTGATCTTGACTTATGAGGTAGCCGGATTATGAGGAGGTAAGCTGAGTGAACAGTCAAAATAAAATCCAGCACAAAATGTTTGGGAAGCAACCTTGAAATCCAAGAAAGCCGCATGAAAGGAGTTAAGCAGCACTGCCGTCTAAGAAGAGCACAGATCAAACAAGTTTGCCACAAATACCCTGCAGATCGTGTAAACCCATGAGCAGAAGTCCTGCCCTTGATTCCTCTAAAAATAACACAAACGAGCCCTTTCCCTTTGAACATCTGGGCTCGTTGTGGGGATCCAGACACCAGTGTTCTCAGTGTCAACAGCTTTCTTCACTAGAATTCCTCGCTCTCCTTCGCTTCCCAAAGCTATGATCAGCATCACTGGGGGTCTCAACTATCAACAACATCCCTGCCTTTTTGCACATCCATAAAGTATATATAGACTTCTCTCACTCATGACACTAAGCAATGGATAATACACCAAACCATCCAATTCCCTTTTTCTTTTTTCAAATTCATGCAGCTTTGCGTGCCTGGGCTCTTTGCTAAGGAATCATGGAATGTGTAGTTTGGCGAGGCAGAGAGAGAAGGCTCAAGGGCTTGTAGAACTAAACTACAACACCCCTGATGCCATGACACAGGGCAAGGACCGTTGTGTGTCCAAACTGCATGCACTCCAAAGTGGAGATGCACCCAAAGTCTCCCCAAGGCTGCTTTGAGTGCCCAGGCTCTTTGCTATGGAATAATGGAATGTGTAGTTTGGTGAGGAAGAGAGAGAAGGCTCAAGGGCTTGTAGAACTAAACTACAACACCCCTGGTCCCATGATACAAAGCAAGGGCAGTTCGGTGTCCAAACTGCATCCATTCCACAGTGAAGATGCACCCAAAGCCTCTCCAAGGCTGCTTTGAGTGCCCGGGCTCTTTGCTATGGAATAATGGAATGTATCGTTTGGTGAGGCAGAGGGAAGAGGCTCAAGGGCTTGCCAAACTAAATTGCAACACCCCTAATGCCATATTACAAAGCAAAGGCAGTTCAAGCAGTGTCCAAACTGCATCCATTCCAAAGTGGAGATGCACCCAAAGCCTCCCCAAGGCTGGGCTTCACTGTTGGAAAACCAAAAGTATCTGGAGATGCACCCAAAGCCTCCCCAAGGCTGCTTTGAGTGCCTCAGCACTTTGCTATGCAATAATGAAATGTATAGTTTGGTGAGGCAGAGAGAGAGGGCATGTCAAACTAAACTACAACACCCCTGATGCCATAATATAGAGCATGGGCAGTTCAAGTGGTGACCAAACCTCATCCATTCCAAAGTGGAGATGCTCCCAAAGCCTCCCAAAGCTGGGCTTCACTATGGGGAAAGCCATAGTAACAGGAGATGCACCCAAGGCCTCCCCGAGGCTGCTTTGACTGCCTGGGCTCTTTGCTTTGGAATAATGGAATGTCTAGTTTGGTGAGGCAGAGAGAGGAGGCTCAAGAACTTGTCAAACTAAACTACAACACCCCTGGTGTCATAATACAGAGCAAGAACAGGTCAAGTGGTGTCCAAAGTGCATCCATTCCAGAGTAGATGCACCCAAAGCCTCCCCAAGGCTGGGCTTCACTGTTGGGAAACCCAGAGTAGCTGGAGATGCACCCAAAGCCTACCCAAGGCTGCTTTGAATGCCTGGGCTCTTTGCTTTGGAATAATGGAATATTTAGTTTTGGTGAGGCAAAGAGAGGAGGCTCAAGGGCTTGTCAAACTAAACTACAGTACCCCTGATGCCATAACATACAGCATAAGCAGTTCAAGTGGTGTCCAAACCATATCCATTCCACAGCGGAGATGCACCCAAAGCCTACCCAAGGATGCTTTGACTGCCTGGAATATCTAGTTTGGTGAAGCAGAGAGAGGAGACTCAAGAGCTTGTCAAACTAAAATGCAACGCCCCTGATAACACAGAGCAAGGACAGTTGTGTGTCCAAAGTGCATCCATTCCAAAGTGGAGAGGCACCCAAAACCTCCCTAAGGCTGAGCTTGACTGTGGGGAAAGCCCAAGTAGCCCCAATCCTTGGTGAAGGGAGCCTGGAAGGGAGCAGTGCCATTGCCCATGCATGCAAGGATGGAAGAAATGGGTCAAAAGCAAGAGGACGAGGAAGGCAGGAGGCGATTACCTGGTCATGCTGGCAGCCTCTTATTCCTAGCAGCAGCAGCCCCAACGCCGCCGCTGACCAAGTCCTTGGTCTCAGAGGGGTTATTGTTGTTGTTGTTGTGCTTCCTGCCGCCTTTTCTTCTCCTTCTTTTCCTCCTCTTGCTGGGGTGAAGTGCTGCCACCGCCGCCTGCGCTTCCTCCTCTCCTGCTTCTCCTTTCTCCTCCTCCTCCTGCTGCTGTCGCTCGCCTCTCGGGCGCCGGATTTAATCCAAAACCCAAGCTGTACAGACGGGGACGGCTCCCTCCGAGGCGGGAAAGTGGGAGAGAAGAGTCCGAGGCATCCGCACGGAGAGACAGAGCCAGAGCCGCTTGCTTGCTTGCTTTCTCCTCGCGGGCTCTTCTCCTCCTTCTTCTTCTTCTCCTTCCTTCTTCTCCTCCGCTCTCCTGGCTGCTGCTGCTGCTGCTTCTCTCGCTGCCTCCCGCTCTGCTCTGCTCTCCCCTCCCCTCCTTCCTTCCCTCCCTCCTTCCTCTCCTCTCTTCCCTCTCCTCCTCCTTTTCCTCGCTCCTCTTCTCCTCTTCTTGCCCCCTTTTTTTGCAATTGCAACTCTGGCCTTGCACTCACTGGCCAAAAAAGGGAGGCCCGCCCTTTTGGGCTACTCTTTTCCTTCTCAAAAAAATGGGGAAAAATACTTTTTTTGTTGCTTTGCTTCCTCCTCCAAGTGCAACGCCAAAAGGGCAAGTTGGGAGAAGGTGGAAATGGGAAAAGAAAACAGGAAGAAAGAGAAAGCCCTTCTTTCTCCTTTTCAGTCTCCTTTGGGTAAGGTTGGAGGGAAGGATGCTCTTCCTCCCGCCTGCTAACGTCTACCCATCCCCTCGGTGTATGGCGTTTGCTTTTGATTACTATGTCTGAGGAGGAGGATGATTATGAGGATGAGGAGTGGCGTTAGGGTTCCATCCTCTGGCCCGGAGAGGGGAAGGCTGCCGAGCGCGTGCGCGCGCAAAAAATTAAAGCTTTTGGCAACGGGGGGAAAAAACACAAAGGCGAAGGAGAAGTGGGCAAGGTTGAGAGAGTTCTATCGGGGCAAGAGGAGCCCTTTGAGGGAAATAAAGAGAGCCAGCCAGCCTCCGCTTCCCCTCGTCTTCCTTCTCTTGCAATTTGGACCACAGACTAAAGGAAAAGGAGGAGAGACCGGGGAGGAAAAAAAGAAGAAGACGCGCTCTCCTTTTTTCCAGCGCGCGCGCGCTCCTTACGCACGAGCCAGAGCGCGCGGAGCCCCGTTTGCAATCTCCCTCTGCGTTCCTGTGTTAAGGAAGGGGGGGGGGAGGTGTCCGGTGACGTCACTTCTTTCTCTCTCTCTCTCCAGCTGGACCACCCGCTCCAGGAAGGACCTCCCTCCTCTCTCTCTCTCTCTTACTCTGTGTGTGTGCGTGTCTCTCTCTCCCCATCCCCATCTTTTCTCCTCCTTTATTTATTTATTGTTGGGAGGGATTTGTCTTATTCCATGTTTCCCAGACGTCGAGGGAGACGCTGCGCCCACGCTTCCCCCCTCCAAAGAAAGCACACTTTCCCAAGACAAGCGCGCGCTCTCTCTCTCTCTGACACACTCCGCCTCGTCCCTGCCTGTCAGCCAATGGGTTTGCAAAGAGAGAGAGAGAGAGAGAGAGACTCCTTGGCTTCCTCCCCCCTTTATATTCTCCAGGAACACGCCGTGCAACCAACCCGTTTTAAAAAGAAAATCATAATAATAAGAGGAGGAGGGGGAGGGGAGGGGGAGAGATGCTTGCTCACCATTCAAGGATTCCCTTTTATTTGGTGTCTTGTTTCTGTTTGAAACGTTGCATGATGCCACCCATCCTCATTTCCCTCCCCCAAGTCACAGAGGTGTACAGACGACTTCCCTGTCAATCCCCTTATCTATATAAATAAAAATGTAATGTTCGTTTGTGGGATTAACAGACTCAAAAACCACTGGACGAACTGACACCAAATTTGGAACGAGACACCTAACAGTCCAGTGTATGTCCTTCACTTAAAAAAAATGATTTTGTCATTTGGGAGTTGTAGTTTCTGGGATTTGTCGTTTATGTACAATCAAAGAGCATTCTGAACCTCACCAACGATGGAATTGAACCAAACTTGGCACACAGTTCTCCCATGACCAACTGAAAATACTGGAAGAGTTTGGTGGGCAGTGTCCTTTGGTTTTGGAGTTGTAGTTCACCTACATCCAGAAATCACTGTGGACTCAAACAATGGACCAAACTCTACACGAATACTCAATATGCCCAAATGTGAACACTGGGGGAGTTTGGGGAAAATACAGGGTTAGTCAAAATGAATAGGCCAATAAGAAAATTAATTTTAGACGAATGTATGTTTACTGTAACCAAACCACAGCTACATAGCGACAGATAAACTATCAAAGTTTTTTTTGAGCAACACACATGTACGTTAATGCCGCTAGGCGTCGCTAGGGGTCGCTGTTTTCAAAATGGCGGAATCAAGCAAAGAGAAGGCGTTTTGTGTGATGACATTTGCTAAAACAATGTCAGTAATTACGGTCCAGAGAGAATTTCAAGGGTTAGGGTTAGGGTTAGGGTTAGGGATAGGGTTAGGGTTAGGGATAGGGTTAGGGTTAGGGTTAGGGTTAGGGTTAGGGTTAGGGGTAGGGTTAGGGTTAGGGTTAGGGATAGGGTTAGGGTTAGGGTTAGGGTTAGGGTTAGGGTTAGGGTTAGGGTTAGGGATAGGGTTAGGGTTAGGGTTAGGGTTAGGGTTAGGACCTCAACGAACACCTTCCCAGACGTTGCTGCATTCGATGCCATTACGTCGGATGTGCTGCAACGGATGTGGAATGAACTGGACTATCGCTTGGACATCTGCCGTGTCACACGGGGCGCCCATATCGAACATCTCTGAAGGTGAGACAAAACTTTGATAGTTTATCTGTCGCTACGTAGCTGTAGTTTGGTTACAATAAACATACATTCGTCTAAAATTAATTTTCTTATTGGCCTATTCAGTTTGAGGAAAATAGAATCTTGACATTTGGGAATTGTAGTTGCTGGGATTTATAGTTCACCTACAATCACAGAGAATTCTGAACCCCACCAACGATAGAATTGGACCAAAACTCCCACACAGAACAGCCATGTGGGCCACAGTAACGCGTGGCAGGGGACAGCTAGTCTATATATAAAATGTAATGTTCATTTGTGGGATTAACACAACTCAAAAACCACTGGACGAATTGACACCAAATTTGGACACAATACACCTATCAGGCCAACAAGTGACCATCACTCATGAAAATACTGAAAAACAGCAGAAGAGACTTAAAAAGCCAAAAAAATAAACAAATACATTACAACGCATCACAAAACCACACACACGGAATGGCTAATCTATATAAATAAAATTGTAGTGTTTGTTTGTGGGATTTGCATAACTCAAAAACCACTGGATGAATTGACACCAAATTTGGACACAAGACATCTATCAGGCCAATGAGTGACCATCACTCATAAAAATACTGAAAAACACAGCAGAAGAGACTTAAAAAGCCCCAAAATAATAAAAAATACATTACAATGCATGTGCAAAAGCACATATAGATATGGAAACACACACACACATATATATACACACACACAGACACACACAAACTGGGCCACAGCACCGTGTGGCACGGGACGGCTAGTTAATAAATAAATTGTCCTCTACAGCAGAGCTTTCCAAACTCTGTGTGGGCTGCAGTGTGCAGCTAATGAGATATGACCAAAGTCTTGGAAATGTCTGTAATTTTCTTGCAAATCATATATTTTTTTAAAATATAAATGAAAGGTTTGCATGAGATATGCTGTAGAGCCCTGGCAGACCATGTTGCAGGGCAAAGAAACCAAAATATTTCCCAAAAAAGCAGATTAGGTTCCCACCTGTCCTACTATGTCAATCAAAATCATAAACAACACATGAGCTAGCTTAGACCAATGAAATGATTTGTCTTTGGGAACCAATGAGAATGTGTATGCCAAAAAATGATTAAAACCCTGCCTGCAGCCCCATTGATGGTTGCGACAAACACTTTGATTGCATTCTGCATGCTTGTTTGTCGATATTACTAGGTCCACAATAAAACCTTTGTAGTAAGAATCCAACTTATGGCTTCTTCCTTGCATGGCTGGCTACATTGGGCCGTTGAGAAGACTCCTAAGCTTGTGTATTTGGAGTGTCCCTGCATCGCTGCCCCTTCACTGTCAAAAGAATCTGCGAAGCCCACCTCCTCCAAGGGGAGCTGAACCACCTAAACAGGGCTCAATGGATACTCCACCACAGACATCAGAAGAGCTGCAAGACTGAGAACAAGCCACAAGAGTCAAGACAAAGATCCACGCATAGGAAAAGTGTTCTTACCATACATCAAGGGAAACATTGACCACATAGGGAAGCCGATGAAGAAACACAAACTACAAGCTATCTACAGACCCACTAGGAAAATGCTTCATTCAGCAAAGGACAAAAGGGATCCTCTCACCTATGCAGGAGTCTACTGTACAGTATACAGCTTTGGATGAGTCTACATAGGGACCACCAAACATGAATCAGGGGACATGAAAGTCACTGCGGACTAACTCAATCAGAGAAGTCAGTCTTAGCAGAGCACTTCATGAACCAACCTGTATTTGAGAACACAGAAATGCTGGATCACTCTAACAACCACAATATCAGGCTACACAGAGGGGCCACTGAAATCCAGAAGCATGTGGACAATTTCAACAGAAAGGAAGAAACCATGAAAATGAACACAATCTGGCTACCAGTATTTAAAAACTCAAAAATCAGGACAGTAAATAAAGAACAACACTCAAAAGACAGGGGAATTCCAAACAAGGAACAATCAGGGCCAGCTAACACCTTTCAACAAAGAATCCCCCAGGCAGCAACCAGCTAGGCTTTGACGCTGCAAGGCTAGTCAGTGCTAATCAAGCTGGCCAGTTGCAACATGTACACTTGCCTCAAACAGACAAGATTTCTTTCTCCCATCCTGGACATTCCACAGATATATAAACCCCACTTGCCTAGTTCCAATAAACCTCACAACTTCTGAGGATGCCTGCTATAGATGTCAGTGAAACGTCAGGAGAAACTGCTTCTGGAACATGTTCATACAGCCCGGAAAATTCACAGTAACCCTTTTGCATGAGATAGGTTGTGTTCCCATACTTTTTATTATTTCAGTTTCTGTATGTGTCTACATCTCTTATAAAGGGTTCGTTTAACTTCCGGATTGCTCGTAAAACTGAATTATCATGTCGCGAAGTGATGCTTGTCTTGTCACCAACATGAAATGTCTGGAAAGCTTTGCT